GAGTGAGATATGGGCTCCGAAAGTGACTGCCTGTAACTGTGAAAACAATCGCCTTTAATGGTGCTTTGTGCGAGTGTCGTGATTTGGTCTATCGAGCAAGGCATGCCGCTGCGGAATTTTCTGTAATTTTTTCACGGATCGAAAACTTCTCTCCAGCTTTTCTCCCTGCTCGGACATCGTCACGGGGCGTACCACATATCGAATCGCTCGTCTCAAATAGACGAACACACTCACAAAATTTGAGCGCCATCTGACTCAAGACGAGTGAGATATGGGCTCCGAAAGTGATTTTCTGTGACTGTGAAAACAACCACCTTTAATGGTGTTTTGTGCAGTGAGGCCACATGGGAATAGTGTGCGACTCCTCTTTTTCAATATTTTACTCATTTATTTATCTTGGAGTATCCGATAAAGCCGAAACTTGACCCGTAGAGGTTTTCAACCGTGCCGGATCCAATGGCGGTGGTCCCACAGTGATTTGAGACACCAAAAATGTAGTTCCAGTTGTAGGGTCCGTTTCAGGGTGCCAGAGGCCATTTTCCCGAAAACTGTTCCTCTGTTTTCACTGCCTTATACATGTCGCAATGCGACGAAACTTGGCAGGTGGTCTTTTGGAGTGCTGATGAAGATCTTGACTAGTTCTTAGGTCATTCTGAGACTGTCGAGAATTCCACTGGTTTATAGTCTTTATTGACCTGCTTCCTATCAGGGAGCAAGGTGCTGAAAAATACGTTCAAACAGTTTGTTCTCCAACACAATGGTACATATGCTCTCTTTCGCCTCCTTGAACACCATGGTTCTTTATATGCCATATAAGCCATGTGGCTATTTTGTGCTATTTTGTGTGTGGCTGTTTTGCCATGATTCCATTGCAAAACCATTTTATTAGTAGGTACTAGGTAACTGAAAATTGAAAGCGGAGTGAAGAAACTAGTAAGAATGCTAATGGTTCCAGTGTTTGATTAGCATGTATTGTAAGGGTGCTGAATAAAATAAACAAACCTTTTCCAAATGGATTCAGCTTACCTGCATGGAAAGAAGAGACCATTTTCTTTCAGCATCATTTGTGCAGATTAGCAGTAAGATGTTAGAGAGATGCCTTCTGTTTTCCCCGTTTCAGCCAAACAAACACCTTAGGATGTATGCAATTTGCCCACAACCACTACGATCATTCGATTTTCTGCTTTTCTCTGTTACAGCTTTTTTTGGTGTTTTATTGCTGACCTTGTGTGATTATTCATAGAATCAAATGTGACATGTTTTTATCGATACAATCTGTGTAATAGTTTCAATATACCTGACAACGTTGGCAATCTAGTTAGGGTACAAACATAACTCAAATGCCAAAACGAGACAACAGGACTGGGATGATGTTGAGGAAGCATCTCCTAGGCCAAAGGAAATGCTTTACCAACTAGGTAGGGCCTTCCATTCATGAGATGAGTTGCTTCTGTGATCTTGCTGTTCTGTATGCTTCCAAATATGTTTCTTCAGGGTAAATTTTGTGGGGAATGCTACCGTCCTTTCCATGCATGAAATAAATTGAAGCACCAAAAATAGGTCTAACTGCCAGAAGATATTCAGAAAATATTCTAGATAATAATAGAAAAGCAATCCATGGAAAAATAAGGCAAAAATGTGGCTAACAGATATAGGTGGAGAAAGATTCCACACCCACTTCAACAGGAGTAATCAATGAAAGGTTCTCCACCCTTACAATTCCTTAAGAAAAAAGGGAACCCTACATACTTACCGAACAAAGGAAAGGGATATCACATGGGGCCCACATGAGGCTGGATCCCACATCAACCAATTTGGTAATCAAGTTGTTGTACAATGTCATTAACATATTCAAATGTTTTTAGACCTAACTCACCTTTGTACTTCTATAACCATTACTAATGTTCAGTTGAAAATCAAAATTTCACCGAGATCAGTTCATAGTTAACCGAATTGGGATTGAATCAGATCCTGGATAGGGGCCAAGACCATGAGATTGTGACTAGTAGGAAGCTCCCTATGGTAGGGACCACGGTCTGTACACCCTGAAATGTAGGGATTTCAATATGGGGGTGCCTGATCCAAACTTAATTGGGAGTGAAATTATAAATTTTAGAGTTCCTTTTCGTTAAAAGTCGAGGTCCACGAGAACACTTAATTAGTATTGTAGTACTATATATATCACTATACTATACGAAATTGATATACAATAATATACTGTTATGCTATACTGCAATACTATGCTATTCCCTATGTTATATGCAACTATAATATATATTATGCTATATAGTATATACTACTATACTCTACACTGCTAGACTATAACTATACTATATTGCTATAATATACTACACTACCAAATTATACTGCAATACTATCCTATATTATACCGCTATACTATACTAAAATGTTAGGGAATCTGGATCCCTTGTAAGTTAGGATATCAATCTCTAATTGGGAGGATCCAGATTCCAATATTTAAATATGTGGAGGAGTGAGATTCCCGTCCCTAGAGCTCAGCAGCGAGATTCCATGGTGGAATTGGCCATTTAGTCGGAACATCTGAAAAAAATAAAAATAAAAATAAATCAACCTTTAGTTGGAAGATCCCTGTAATTATGGATAAGTTTGACCAAAATCCAATCCAATGTGCCCTCTTGCAGTGAGATTACAATATTCTACACATGTCCCAGGCTGATCGAATGAAAAAATGCATATTAGATTCTGGCATGCTTCATTACCAATCAGTGTTCAGAAAATCAACTCGGCCAAGGTAGTTGGACCTTGGCTAAGGTGAGTTACTCGGCCAAGTTCATGTCATGTTAAAGAAAAAGGGAATAACAAAAGGAAATAGGGTAAATATATTGGCCCCAACAAGAGGTTGAGGCATCAAATCCTGACCATTGCACGTCTTTTTGTGAACCCTGTGTTCAAACCTCAGTTTAATGGTGCTTTTTTTTTTTAATAAAAAAAAGGAATCCCTCGTAATTGTTTAATTCAATTATAATGGTGCTTATGTTTTTAATAAAAAAAGGAACTCTTAATTGAACCCCATGTTCAAAACTCGGTTTAATGGTGCGTAATTTTTTAAGAAGAAAAAGGAATTCCTCTTAATGTTTAATTAAACCATGATGGTGCTTATTGTTTTAATAAAAAAAGGACCCTTCTGAATTGAACCCGTGTTCAAACTCAATTCAGTTTAACTGTGCGTATTTTTTTAATAAGAAAAGGCGCCGCTCTTAGTTGTTTAATTAAACCATAATGGTGCTTATTTTTTATTAAAAGAAAGGGGAAGCCCTCTTAATTGTTTAATTAAACCATTGAACCTTAAGAAGGCTTATTTTTTAATAAAATCAGACAGGGCTTGTTTTTTTTTATCCTTAATAAAATAAGAAATGTCTATTTTTTAATGAAAAAATGGGATCATGTCTGGCGGGATTCGAACCGTAGACATGAGACCGCTGAGGCATACATAATAACGAATAAGTCAATTAGACCTCACGTGATTAAAGTTGGGCATACATAATATATATAAAAAATCGTTACATAGTACTCGACTGAGTCCAAAAACATTCTTACCAATTTTAAGATTAAAATCAAATTATCACTGATATCCAAAATTTGCAGTGGGAATACATTGTTCTATTGACATCCATACTGATCTGACAGAAATTCAGGGTGAATTGCCAGTGGAATATATTCACTACCTCGAAGGACTTAATTTGTTAACAGCTGTTGGTATTTTTAAATAAACCAAAACTGAGGTACTGCAGAAATTAGATCATTAGTATGTATTTTCACTCCTTTGATAAGTGGTCTCTATGAAAACTGAGTGCTGTACTTGCATGAAACTCACTCCACTGTGGATACCGCATGGAGGGGTGAGAAAGGACAAAGGAGTGCAAGTCTTTAGGAAAGCATAATTTCACAAATCTAAAGGTATTCTTTAAAACATGGATCAGGTGTAAAAAATTCGTTACGTCACTATTTCTTTGATTGATCTGTTCCATCATTGATATTTGCCTCTCTTCCTAAATTGTGACTAGCCTTTTATGAATTTGCACTTTGATATTGTGACACACGTGAATCCTATGATGTGGTCTTCATGTGATTTTGCATCCTGATTTCGGGTTATTTTTAAGAATTGTATTGAACAGGACAGTTACATGAGTAAACATTTGAGGCACTGTTGTTTGAGACATCAAAAATCACTTTGTCACAATTTTAAATATGTAAAAATAAGACATATCTTCTCATCTTAATGAAATGTCAATTTCCCTAACTTTTGTCATTGACATTATTATCTTTTCAAGGAATCGGGCACCTGGCTTCATACTTTCAGTGGTGACAATTGCACCACAACAAAGGTCTATTACTCTAAAATTGGCAAAATGTATTTAAATTTTTTTAAAATTATCTGGTTACAAAGACAATCCAGCTAATAATGTGAGGACATGATAAGAACTATAACCTTGTATGGAACAATTATAAAGACTGCATTTGTATAGGGTGTTTAGTGCACTACAATTGAATGCCCCTAAGGATGCTATGGTGGTCAACGAGGATGGTTTGGTCGAGTGGGCATTCAAAAAGCTCCTAGCCACCTTACCATACATTTTGGAAAGAACTCCTCACCTCCTTTTTGTCCTATTGTATAGCTTGAAATGGTAGGTCACACACCTCTTTTGTTAACAATTTAAAAAAAAAAATGTCACACTCCTCTTTTCCATACTGAAGTTAAACACCACCAATTTAACTACGATTCTCAAGGTGAAGGTGCACTCTCCTTTGTTAATGTGTTAAAGTGTTACTTGATTGGGTTGCTTGAACTTTGTTAATCTGTTAAAGCAAATTTGTATTCGAGTGTTTGCCATTTCGCTTCAGTTGTTTTTTTTTTTTTTTTGGGGGCTGGGTGGGGTTGGGGCATGTTATCCATTTTAAAGGGGATTTTCTTATGGAGTTTAATCATATATATATCTGTCTGTAATTCCTTTGTGTAGGAAAATCTTGTGATGGAAAGCAGCAAAGGTAGTGAAGCTAGCTGGTGGATGCAGCTCACTACATTGACTAGAAGGTCCTTCATCAATATGAGCAGAGACATAGGGTATTACTGGCTGAGGGTCGTGATCTATGTACTGGTCTCACTTTGTGTGGGCACAATCTACTTTGATGTTGGGACCAGTTACACTGCTATCTTAGTAAGCTTTACCGGGATCAAGTTCTCTCACCTTATTTTGAAAGGTCTCTCTTCAATATCGTCAGCATGTCAGAAAGTTTTGCCTAAGACTTAGCCTCCCATTTGCTTATTACAGGCCAGATCCGCATGTGGAGCTTTCATCTCCGGTTTCATGACATTTATGTCCATTGGAGGTTTTCCATCCTTTGTAGAGGAAATGAAGGTTGAATTCAACCTTTGTGCATGAGAGAGAGAGAGAGAGAACCTTTACACTCCCATTTGTTTTGTAAAAGTAATTCAATTTGCAGGTATTTTCTACTTACCAAAATAAGAAAAAGTGCAGGTTTTCTACGGTGAAAGGCGAAATGGCTTTTATGGTGTCAGTGTCTACATCCTTTCAAACTTCCTCTCCTCCTTCCCTTACCTTGTCCTTGTTTCTCTCTCCTCCGGGAGTATCACATATTACATGGTGAAGTTCCAGCCCGGCTACTCTCGTTTTATATACTTCTCTCTCAACCTCTTTGGGTGCCTTGCGGTTATAGAGAGCCTCATGATGGTTGTTGCCTCTCTTGTCCCCAACTTCTTGATGGGTATCATAACGGGAGCTGGAATTATGGTAATTACCATGTTTTTCTTTCATGAGAGAGAGGGAGAGAGAGAGAATACCTACAACATTTACAGTGCGGCTTCTATCCTTCTACAAACAAATCATTGTTTGGACTAAATTCCCGCCCCCCCCCCCCCTCCTCCTCTTGCAGGGTATTTTGATGATGACAGCTGGGTTCTTTAGACTGCTGCCTGACCTTCCAAAACCCTTTTGGCGCTACCCCATTTCTTACCTCAGTTATGGCTCATGGGGACTGCAGGTAAAGATCTAAACCCCCCTTTTATGAAAATGATGAGTTCTCTAGTTGGTCTTCTTTCCTTTACAACTTCAAGGCATTGTTATGCAGGGGCAATTGAAAAACGACATGATTGGTATGTTGTTTGATCCTATGTTGCCTGGGGACCCAAAGCTCCGAGGAGAAGACATCCTAAGGAACATGTTAGGAGTAGGCTTGGGCCACTCCAAGTGGTTGGACTTGGCTATCATCTACGTCATTCTCATTTCATATAGGCTTACCTTCTTTCTAGTTTTGAAGTTCAATGAGAAAGTGTCTCCAGCTCTGCGCTCTTTACATGCCAAGAGGTCCTTGGAGTATCTCAAGAGAAGGCCTTCTTTTACGAGGAAGCCTTCATTTAGGAGCACTCCGTCGTTTAGGTACACCACTCCTCACGCTCTCTCTACCCAGGAGGGCCTCAACTCCCCTCTTCAGTAACTGGTTATAACTTCTCCTGATTATCATTGGAGTAGTTATTAATACTTAGAAGATAAGCTTAACAATTTGAAGAAATGGATGAGTATTCTTGTGGTTATTCTGTGGTTTATGAAGCATTGGGTGCCTTGATGGATCTGTGGAGAAGGATGCGATATTTGCCTCACTTATGTATTGTTAACTGCTCAACTTTGGGAGCAAGAGTCGACTCTAGTGAGGGTGTCTTTCATTATGAGTTTTGTGGAAAAGTGATTGATGTTTTTGCAAAATTTTAAGAGGAAGCCACTGTAAAATAAGAAAAATGAAAGATCTCAAGAAAGAATACAAGCCAATTTCTCAATATAAGTATGTTCATGTGCTTAAATCTAAGTTAGGATTGAGTGCCTTAAGAAAACTTCAAGGTTGCAAGTCGCAACAAAACGAGCATTTGCATTGGATTATGAACAGAATGTATCAGACTGGGTTCTTGCTCTTCACGGGTAAAATTTCACTCATACTGGGGATTGTATGCGATGCTTTTCTACACAAAGGTGACAAACGCCCCAAGCCATTGGATGGATGGGGTGTTCCATTTTCCTGCACAAAGTCTAAGGTAGATTTTCTCAGTCTTTGACCATCGGATTTCACATCTAATGGCGAAGGATAACTGTGACTTCTTTGCACTAAAGGCAAACAATCTTGTATACTTGTTCTTTCTTTTTAATGCATATTCTTTCTCCCAAAAGGAAATTACTCTGCATAGTTGTGCAGCATGGAAACAAATGCAGTATCTTACTTCACGCAAAAGACAGTTATCAACCGTGGAAATGTTTATGTTTGTCGGCAAAAGAGTCCTCTGCCGATTTCCATTGATCTAGGATTCAAAATATATTTTAAATTATTGCAAATGCATTTCAATCTTGGATCCATGCATTTGCAGCGCTACAAAAATAATGCAAATCTGATGATCCACAAAGAATGGTTAAAAAAAAAAAATAAATCAAAATGGGCTGTTTTTAGGGTCCAAAATTTAATTGTTTTTTTTCTCAAATCATGATTTTGTTGTTTTATATCATCAACCTGTTAAAATTTGAATCCAAAAATCCATCTAAGATAGGTTTTGGAAGGCGGTTGCATTTCAACATGCGTGAGGTAGCACACCAGAATCTTCTCATTGGATGTTTAGTTTAAGTCAAGAGGAAAGCTTATGCATATGAGTTCAACCAATATATGGTAATGGTTAATTTCATAAATCTGGTAATGGTTAATTTCATAAATCTAATAGGGTGTGGTTGGCATACGGACGCCTCCATAGGTGTAGAGGCACGGTGCCTTTTAAATTTTATTATGGTATATAATTTGATGTAAATGTTATTAGG